CATCTAGAGGTAATTTTTACAGTGAAGTCATCAGTGTGAGGACCTTCTGTGGTCCCTTCTACAAGCATAAAATAACATCTAAAATAGTTCTACACTAACAATAGAAAATGATTCTGAAAGATGTTGTTATATTTTTCTTCTTTTTATGCAGGATATCAATTGTTACATGGAGCAGTTAATTCGATTATGTACAGTAAATTTGGTATTTATATTAATTCTATTTAATCAGATTTTTTCACAAATGTCTAAATTAATGTCATTCTTTCTATTGAAATCAGAAAGGGAAGTGCCTATAAATATGTATACATCTGCATCTACTGAGTGATAAAACAAAATTACTATATACAGTACAAAACTACTATATACAGTATTACTATTTACTTGCTTGCGGTATGCCTTGAGGTATTGCAACCCACCATGAGGGCCACCTGAAGTACTCGCTTTGAAATTTCATTTGAGATGGTACTTTAAAGAAGGAAAACACAAGATTATTTGTTTTAGAAAAGAGCACCAGATGAAAAGTAAAAAGAGAAAACATTTGCAGCTAACACAAAATTCTCTTGATACATAGGGGACATTAACCAAAGAAAGAAAACCCTTGAAAAATAAAGGAAGTACTCTGGTTGAAATTTAGATTATAGAAGATAAAGCTTTCAAGAAATTGTATTCCCCCCCTTTTTAGATTTTTTTTGGCTCATTCATCTTACGATTTCGCCTGCCCTTTCAGAAAAAATTAAGTATATTTCTCCCTGTCTAAAAAACACATTTGCTGATAGAAAACCCTTTGTCTTGAGGCTGGCTGAGGAAGGAAAGGAAAAAAGCAAAGAAAACATTAAGATGGAACTGGATCACTTTTAGGATATAATTTTACATTATGTGGCCAAAGAAGTGAAGGACTGAACGAGATGATTCCTTCAGTCCCGAGCTCCCAAAACCTAGCTAAACTTTCTAATTTATCTTCTTATGTTAAAGGAAACAATTTTTCAGAATCCTCCCTGCACACTCTACTGATTTAGTTAAACTGTTATGACATATAGTAGACAAATAATTCACAGATATATGTTATAGCATCAAAATTACACCTCATGGTATGAGTGAAAACAGCCTATACCCAGAAAACCACAACAGTTTTGCCAGTATGTAAAACCCTTCAGAAGCCAGTAAGCATCTTCATCTGCTCACAATATTCTGTGAACCTGGACTTGGCACAAACCTCCACAGCAGAGAACACCCTCTCAGGCATTTTCTTTCTTTGTTACTACCTCAGCATCTGACCTTCTGAAGGGTGAAAGGGATTTTCATTCCATTGCATATAGTTATCTACATTTGGTTGTCCTGTTTATTGTGAACTCATTTTGTCAGATAAAATGAGACTGTCGAAAGTAAATCACAGAAAACAAACAAGCATGTATATGTATGTACATAGATATAGATTTACATGCATGGTAATACCTTAAAAACGCCCAATGATTAATCTTTGTCCTTAGGGTGGTTCCTTTTCTACTACTGGAGAAAAAACAGAATTCCTGGTATTTGTGAGGAAAATTTCTAATTAAATATACCAATGAAAAAAAAATCTACCTGCAAATGCTAATGAAATAGATTCTCATTTCTGTTACGAAAATAAATAAGAAAAAAAAAAAACAAAACCAAAAAATAACTCCTTTGAATTCTGTGCAGAAGTTTTGAATAGATGTTTTGAATTTCTTCATCATGCAAAGCTAAATCTTCTCCACTGCCATTCTGAGGCAATAAAAGCTAGTAACACTTGTTCCAGCAGTTGGGTGAACAACTAGGAAAGATTGACATTTTTCAAATCCACTACTCCACTACAGTTAGGGATAGAGGCAAATGCACTGGGAGTAGCAGGTATTAGTGTGAAATTAGGTTTCATATATACATGAAAATGGTGGAGATAAAGGAATGAAAACCCCATGAAATCCACACGGTCAAGTTATATTGATGAGGTACTGTTCAAGAGGTAAAAAAAAATTCTACAAGCATTTTTTTAAGTAAATTAACAGCTATGTCTTTTAAATGTCTTTAAACATCAAATAACACCCTAACATTTTGGAAGATGATCCCCTGCAATCACTGTTACTCAGTTATAATCTTTCATTATATATGAAAATAATTTAAAAAAATAATTTGAAAAAAAAAATTTCCTATTTTGGTTTCTATTTGTTCTACGTGTTTGAAAGTGTCCAAGCTGGTGAAAAATTATTGTAAAAAGGGATAATTTCAGAATTATAATATATAATCACAATATAATGTATTAATAATATATCATTACAATATAACCAAATAGAATGCAAAATTTAAATTATTAAGTTCTTCAATAAAATTCTGGAAAAATCATGTTTATTTCTCTCTGTGAACATTGCTGGGTCACTTTATTGAAGAAAATTAAAATGTTTAATTCTGTTGTAGGTGGATGCTTAATTGAAGAGATACTTGTGCGTAGAATAGTGTGTAGAAGATGCGTCATGAGTGCTTCTTGTGTATATTTCCATACATGGATCTGGTTCCCTGTCTATATTAATTATTTGTATCCTCATAAATCCAGACTTGCCATTACTAGTGACAGCTCACAAGCTTTGCCCTAAGCAAACAACACAGGCCTCTGGACAGATTCTGTCACATTCACTTTACCTTAGGTTAGCGTGGCTTGCGTGGAGAGCTTCCTTTCAGCTTTGGGTCAGCTTGTGTAGCCATAAGAGTAGTCAAACGACAGGATGGCTCATTTAAGTTGTTTTGATTTTGCTTAGCTTTTATAGGAATATATTGTTTTTGTTAATGCTAGTGAAGTAGGTCAAACTGACTGAATTCAAACTGTCTTGAGACCAAATGCAATGGAACTAGTGTATTTACCTCAAATTTATTTAAAGAGTATTTATTTTATCTTAATTACAGAGTCTAATGTTATATCATATTTCTTTCACTTTTTGGGCAACACACAATGAAGTGCACCTGTTTTTAGGTTTTGTTTTTCAACAATGTAATGAATATGAATGCATTTTGTTAACTACATAGGAAAATGAATCTTGCTCTAGAAATTATCTTCCAAGATAGCCTTATAGTTTTAAGTAGGGTCTTCTCCACTACTGTATTTCAACAAAAAAACCTAAATGATTCCTAATCTTATGTAATCCAATGTTTTCATTAGAATTCATAACAAGGCAATGCTTAACATACCATATGGAAATTATTTTTATTATTCAAAAGTTCATCAAAAAGAAAATGCCATTTTTATGTCTGAAGTTTTACAACAATACAGAATAATCCCTCAGAGACACATCAAAAATCTTATTTGGAAGAAAAATATTGTGCTTCCATTGTTACAAGGTTTCAGTGTTTTTAAAAAGCATGCTAATGCTTTAAACATATCTTTAACCCTCATGGACTGCTATGTATGTTAAATGCTTCCATATAAATTTCCACATGGTATGCACATAATCAAGATCTAGAAGTAGAGCACCTAATCATATAATCATAGATAATGTGTGGATGTCTTTCTATAGATGCTGTATAATTCTGCACATTTTTGTAAGCCAAACTTGTAACACAAGTCTAAATAAAGAAATTAAGGTATTTCCTAGTGTTTTGCTGCTTCAGATGAACTAATTTATCTCACAGTCACAATGTCCTAACATCTCCCACTTTCTCCCCCTGCCCTTATTTCTTGGTTGTACTCTCACCTCTTTTGCATGAGTCATGATCTGACCCTTCCCTTCATCAATTCAGGTCATTCAGCAGGATTGGGGGTGGGATATGGAGGGTGAGTATTTTTCTGCTGACTTAGTAAGTGACTCAGAGGAGAGAGTGTGAGTGTCAGGACAATGCAAGAAAGGCAGTCAGATAACCTCAGGAAGCAGGATCAAGTTATTTGTAGAAGCAATAAGCCATTTGTTCAGCTAAGCGGTATCACAAAATCAATCACACTTTCTGAAAGATTTTTAAGGAAATAAAAATTGTCAAAACTAAGAAACTATCAGGCAGTCTGTGTTGTTTATCCATTTCATGTTTATTCTACTTGTCATGCAGACATTTTTAGTATAAATTCATTACTTTTTAGTTTAAACTCTGTAAGTTGTTTTGAATCTTTTTTTCATTTGATATCACTTAAAGTGGCTGAGAGCTCTCATTTGCCCAAAGATAAAGTACAAGAAGACTAAAACAACAGGTTGCAATGACTCATTGAATATACATTAATGGACTAGTCAATGTATAATCAAACAAAAATTATAGAAAGAATTGAGCACAAGCTTCATCTTCTATGCTGCCAGGTTGTTGAATTTAGAGAAACAGCTTTTGAAACCAAAAGTCAGTTTTCAAGATTCAGTCTTAGGTTCGAGGTACATAAAAGAGAAAAATCATCAGTTCTGATCTGGATATAACAAAATATAACATTTAACACACTGTATAAAAGCTCTCAACATCTTCTTTCTGCTATTCACTACCATGTTGAACCTCATCCCAGTGTTTTTGGTCAAGATGTTTTAAGTCCTATACACAATTGTTCCGACATCCTTTTGGCACTGAGAACAAATACCTTGCGAAACTACACCACAAATCTTTGATCTCATTCCAAGTCCTATGAAGACATAAGACATGTAATAGAAGCGGTACATTTGTTGCTGGGTTTGTCAGGAATGATCTTATCAGCAGTCATAAATACAGGGTGTGGAGAAGCATTTTGGTTCTACTGATTATGTCTTGACCACACTACTTGCCACTTTTGCGCAACACAGACTTAGCAAGGCAAGCTGGCATCAAAAAAGAATATCTATGAATTCTCCATTACCAAAATCCCTCATAAATCTGGAACTTTTGATAGTGGGTATCACTGATTTCTGCTACAAAGTTTTCTGCTATATCATGACTGTTAAATTGTACAGCACCTGGATACATCAAGATTCAAAAAATAAAAAATGCTGTTTCACAAAAGCAAAGCAAGAAAGAGAAAACTGAAAGAAGAATAGGCTAGTCTTGGTACTTACGAAAAGCTCTATAGAACTCTTCCAGAGCCAGGTGCTTGTCACTATTATAATCATCGTATTTCAGCAAATCGAACACAGAGCAGTCAGATGGTTCCTTGCCAAGCTCATCCCGTTTTATTACCTGACAAGAAAATTATAACCATGAAATTGCATTTGAGCTCTTAGTGTTCTCTGGTATAATTAATTGTTTCTAATAATCATTTAATAGATCATTTTAAGGTTGCTGTAGGGCAATGAACTGCAACTGTGTAAAGTCAGGGATTTTCAGTTACTTTGTAATTATTTATTACAGTTTTAAAAGTTAATACCTTTAGGACAGACTGAAATTATACAAAAGTTCTTAGAATATACAGAGAATATATATAATGGGGATAGACAGAAGCACTATAAAGGCACTGGGAATTTTAAATCTGATCTTACTTTATATGTGCTGGAATGGTGATTAAGACACATTCAAATATACTTGAAATAATAATTTCCCAAGTACAAATGGCAGAATGTCTTTTTCTTCTCAGTCTAATTCCTAACCACAGAAACCAAGTGCAGACACTTTCAAAAATAACTAATATAAACTCTTCTTATCGCACTAATTGTATCAACTTCTTATAGGCTTTGGACAAACCTATTATCTCCCTAAAGACCTGTTATATAAGTAGTTGACCTGAAAAGGTTTCTGTTTCTTAATGGGGGCACATAAAATTTGTAAATAGATCCTAATTAATAGCTATTAGATTTTTAACTCCAATGGACTTACCCTAGAGAAACGTTCTTTAATGCGTGCGGCATTTTGCTTTAAGTCTATGTATATAGTAGACATCTGCTTAGATTCCATCTGAGGAATTTTTAAGATGCTGATAGTGCTTCAGAATTGTCATTTTACATGATGCTTATATTAAAAATATTATCACATAACTGAAAGAACCAAAACTAATGCAACTCTTTGTTGTAATATTGCACAGTCTATAGTTTTGCACCAGGCACAGAAAAATTGAATATGTCTTAGGTAATTCATAGGTAAAATAATTATTCTTCCAATAACCTGTCTCCCAAAATAATTGTTAAAAGATTATATTTGTATTAGCAAAGGATAATTTCTGGAAAACAGGGCATACAGGGGCTTTTGTTTTTCAGTTGCTCTGCAAAGGAATTGATTCAGTTACTATTCATGTAAATACAAAATAGCTAAAAGAATAATAGAGAATAAAAGAAGCAGTAGAAGAAAAAGACACAAATATTTTATGCTACCAGAAATAATCTGCCATATATTAATATAAAAGCATTATAAAAGATAATCACCTTGTTTGTACATTAGAGAGTATGAAAACCATATACATAGACAAGAAAAAACACCACAAAACTGTCTTTTGTTATTATTAATTAAAAATACATACTACACTACCTGAATATTAGTGCTTGCTATTTCTCACACTTTAAAAGCCTGTTTATTGAGTTCACATTAAACTGAATTAAGAAAAAATAAAATTGTGTAGATCATGCAGCTGGTGTATAAAGGACAAAAATGTAGTCTGGGAAAAATTAGTAACTCTAAGCCCATTACAGTTATACAAGAAGTACTAAATATGCAATGGTGTGTAATGAAAACTTTAGCAGAACTCACTGAGATTACAAGGCCTTGAAATGTTCTTAAAATCATAGCTGGTTCATGAAAAAGGTACATTTAGGATAAGGAGTTGTTCCTTTAATTGCCTGAAATTTTTTTAAACACCTGCTTTCACTGGCTTCAACTGTACAAATAAGGATGAAATGTTACAACTAAGGTGTAAGAAAACCTTTTTTAAAGTCCCAAAACACCTGCCTCTATAGTATCACATTTTAAATTGCAAACTAGTGTTCTCAGCTTCTATTCTTTGACCTGAAATCTGTCTTATGATGCTTTTCATTTATAATCGGTCAATTTTATTTAAAATAAGAATAATCATAATTTTAAAAAATATTAGAATCAATGTGCTATAATGATACTACAGACATGTGCATTTTATCATCCTGTCAATTATTTCATTTTCATCCTCAGTAAACCTATAATTTTGATTACAGATGTAAGATTCAATATTTGTTTATGTACAGACATGTTTATGCCGGTGATATACTTTGGGGTTCTTTTGAAAATACACTTGTTGTTGATAAATCGTCCAAACATGTCTGTGAGGACAGGTTTCAAAAGGTACAGAAGTGATTTTATATCATGATTATCTTAATTATCTGTGATTTGCTGCTAGAAGAGTTGTTCCAATCAGAATTCTCTTGTGCAGGACCTAGCCATCTCCCAGCTCTGCAATAGGACCTGTGGATCAGATCAACTCTGAGATTGAAATCAAAATTAATCTTTGTGGAGCTTTTGATCAGTTGGTTGGGTTTTCCTTTTGAAGGGGTGGGAGATTAATATCCTGTCTCATGAGATATGATCACAACCAGGTACAACTCAGAGTGTGGGGGTTTGGATTTTGAAAAATTGCCTGTTTCTGTAGCATCTTGAAGTTAGATCAGACCAACTATGATATGAAGTACAACCTGTATGAGACTCTAGCAAAGTAAATATGACTGGTTACCAAGCCATTAGCCAACAGAGAAGTTGTTTAGAAACTTATGTTGGCATCAAGTTCTATAATCATCAGGATCAAACGGCCTGTTCACAAGAGTCCCTGAGTCAGCTGAGACCTTTTTCATGTTAACATTACCTTTCAACAGATCTTCTAGTATCAGTAAAATTCCATGGAAGAGGACATATAATGATGGTATGCAAATATTCAAAGAGGTCAAGAAAAAATACTAGTATTGGATCAAGAAATCAACAGTGGAATTCACAAATTAAGACTGTGAAGATTTTTTGTGTTTCTAAATGCTGTTATAGCATGATATTTTAATACCATCTTCTAGGAAATACAGCCTGTCAGACAATCCCAATTTCATTTCCTTTTACTTATGTAAGATTTAATTTACAAAGACAGCTTGCTAAACATAATATTTTCTTATAGATATTTTTAATTTCACACACTATGTAATCACAAGATAAAAATAATATGCAGTATCAATAAGGCATATACTGCATGAATAATAACATCAGTTATTGCAAAACCTGAAAAAAAAAGATGTCTGTAAGGAATTATCAATAGCTAAAACAATCCAGTGGGATTTTTAAAATGTGGGGTCTCATCCCAATCTCTTTTGATAATTTAAAAGTAAGTAAAAAAATAAAATTGGTAGATGGTATGTACTGTTGAGGTGAATAATAATGAAGAGAAGGACAAGGCAGCATATGGAATGAAATGGATCACATGATTGAATGCTTTCAGAAAAAGTACTTGTGTTTTTGTACAATGTTATATAACATCTAAAACTAGGAACCTCGTAAAAACCTAATGTAAGAACCTCATACCTTAATGAGGATTAATGGGCTCTGGAAAGCATTTTATCCGAAAAACAGAGTGGCAAGATTTGCTGGGGATAAAGAAGCCTTATAAATTCCAGGATCATTCTGTGGCCTAACCAAGTAGCATGACTTTTGGAAGTGTAACAAGGTAACTAGGGCTAGAAAGACAATGGTGGGACTGAATTTGAAACACAACGCTCAGTTTTGACTTGCACAGATTAAAATTTAATGTTGAGAAACTAGAAGAGAATTTACCAAGTTAGAAAGTATCCATAAAACAAACCGAAGTCTGCTGAGACACTTTACGTCAAGTGAACTGAGAAAAATCAATCTTTATAGGTTTGAGGGAAGGAGAAAGGTTTGCTGGGTTGTTTGTTTGTTGTTTGTTTGTAAGGGAGACTTAGACTTGACCATATCATGTTCCATAGGTAATTTCTCAGGGGAAGAAATAAATATTTCAGTTTGGAAAATCATTAATATGACAGGAAAAAAACAGATAACACCTATAAAACTGGAAAAGAAAAGCCATAGGAACAGTTAACCTTGAATACTGTCTTTTAAGTTCTTCTTGATGTTTTCAAATCAAGGTTGCACACTTCCTTATAGACCTTTTCTGCAAGACATTATTTTTTTAATTAAAAGTATTGGATAAATAGAATAAAATCTAATGTTTGTGATACACCATCATCTAATCAAACTTGTATATCATAGACGATTCAACAATGTGCCTTAAATTTTAAATTCTATTAATCTATTAATCTCTGTCTCTGGAGGAGAGAAGAGTAAAATTTAAGGAAACTGTTTCTTAAGACAATTCTTTAAACACAACTTGTCTACTGCTTGGTTAAACTAAACAGACAACAATTCGTTAGGGAGGGAGAATAGAAACTGGCAAAATTTTTAGTAAGTCATAGGCTAGAAATAAAATACTTATTATAAAAATTGAAATCTCATAAAGATTATCTGCACAATTTTATGATTGTGCCATACAAATCAAACATGGATTATTTGTTTTCAAACTTCTAAGCTGAAAATTCATACCAGAGAATGTTCGCAAATATTTATGCTCACAATTTTTACTTTGCGTTTCCATAAAGACAGTGAAGTATTTACTTTCCATATCATCCACTGGTAAAAGGCAAAATATACAGCAAGAGTGGTCCTCTGTTCATAGCATATTGTGAAACTCCATAAATACTGAAAACTTAGAAACTTATCTAAATTTTCAAATTAAATCTGGCTTTTAAAGAATATGAAGCTTATCCTTGAGAATTCAGTACTTTATTAGTCCACCTTACCTGGAATGTTATCAATCAGTAGGTTTTTTTCCTGCCTGTGATTGATGGTCTTTACGTACCTCCCCAAAGAAAATGCTACAAAAATACAAGTACAAACACAACCTTCCTTTAAATCTAATATGGTCACTCAGTTACGTGTGTTCATCTTTCCTAAAGGTATCTCATCACAACAGGATCACTCAGTGCTTGATAAAACACCAAATATATCAAACACCAAACACTGTGAGAACTGTGCTCCAGATTAATTCTGAACTGCACAAGGGGGGATTCAATTACTTGTTCCCCTATCTTCCACAACAGCATAACTTAGTATAAATTGAAAGAATTGACCACTTATGAAAGAAAATTGATAATAAAGGTTGGCAAATTGTTTCTTGCTTTAACTTCCCTTAATCTAAGTTAAATCAGTGTTCTTACAATTTACCAGCAGGTTCT